ACGCCAATCCCTGTGAAGGGTTGCAAAATTCATCTCAATGCACAAAAAAAAATGCAACTTTACTTCGCGTTCGAACACTCCACCACGCCAATCCCTGTGAAGGGTTGCAAAATTCAGCTCAATGCACATCAAAAAATGCAACTTTACCTCGCGTTCGAACACTCGACCACGCCAATCCCTGTGAAGGGTTGCAAAATTGCAAAATTCATCTCAATGCACATCAAAAATTGCAACTTTGCTTCGCGTTCGAACACTCGACAACGCCAATCCCTGTGAAGGATTGCAAAATTCATCTCAATGCATGCACATAAAAAATTGCAACTTTACCTCGCGTTCGAACACTCGACCACGCCAATCCCTGTGAAGGGTTGCAAAATTCATTTCAATGCACATCAAAAAATGCAACTTTGCCTAGCGTTCGTGCATTCGACCATGCCAATCCCTGTGAAAGGTTGCAAAATGCCAATCCCTGTGAAGGGTTGCAAAATGCAGTTGAGCTGCGCCCAAACCCTGTGAAGGGTTGCGCGGCGCCCGCAAAATGTGTAACTTTACCTCGCGTTTGAACGCCCGAGGAGGCGAATCCCTGTGAAGGGTTCACGGCGCCCGAAAAATGTGTAACTTTACCTCGCGTTTGAACGCCCGAGGAGGCGAATCCCTGTGAAGGGTTGCGCGGGCACCCTAAAACGTGTAACTTTACCTCGCGTTTGAACGCCCGAGAGTTCCAATCCCTGTGAAGGGTTCACCCGCGCGCCTAAAATGTGTAACTTTACCCCGCGTTTGAACGCCCGAGGAGGCGAATCCCTGTGAAGGGTTGCGCGGGCAGCCTAAAATGTGTAACTTTACCTCGCGTTTGAACGCCCGAGGAGAGGAGGCGAATCCCTGTGAAGGATTCACCCGCGCGCCTAAAATGTGTAACTTTACCTCGCGTTTGAACGCCCGAGGAGGCGAATCCCTGTGAAGGGTTGCATTCCCGATGGACGCCGACGGTGCCACCCCCGACTTTAGAAGAGAGATTTAAATACCGAGATGTAGAGAGTAAGTCATAGAGGCATAGAGAGTCAGTCAATAGAGAGTCAGTCAATAGAGAGTCAGTCATAAGTACGTAAGTAAGTAGAGTCAAGTAAGTAAGTCAGTAAGTAGTAAGTAGAAAGTAAGCAAGTAGAAGTAGTAAGTAAGTAAGTAGTAAGTAGTAAGTAAGTAAGTCAGTAAGTAAGTATAGAGATAACACAGAGATGCACAGAGTCAAGTAAGTAGGTCAGTCTCAAGTGCGATGAGCTTGAACAGAGATAGCATAGAGACAAGTATCAAGTGTAGAGTCAAGTAAGGTGTAGAGTCAAGTAAGTTGATTCTATGTCTGTCATCTATGTACTCATCTACCGTCAAGTATCAAGTGTAGAGCCAAGCAAGATATAGAGTCAAGTAAGTTGGTTCTATGTCTGTCATCTATGTACTCATCCACCCGGCTCCGCCCGGAAGAACCCTTCGCGATGCTTTCGGGAACTTGAAAGAACAGCACGAGACGGAGATGACGCGTCGAATCCTCCTCCAACGGGTTGCCGGCCAGCCGTATGCAGCTGTTCTTCGAGACCAGGGCCTCACATCAGACGACCGCGACTGCGACGAACTCGACCACCGTAGACGGGGGGAGGCGGAGGCCTCCGCGAGAGCCGTTGCAGCCGTGATGGCGTTCTGCTCCAGCCCTGGCAACGGCATGACGCGGCTGAGTAACTTCACTCTTTACCGTCATTGCACAGGGCACCCAGGTCGATGAGAGCCGTGTTCTGCTTCAGCGCAGCAGCCAAGACGGCCTCGGCCCCATCTCTCTTTCGCCCTTCTCTGTGTGGAGACGAGACGCTAAAATGCAGACTGCACCGGGGTCGCCGATGGAGTTCCAGCCTCGGATGCGCAGAGAGACGAGGGGCGGGGCGCGGCCTGCGGCTTTGAGCCTCTGAGCTCCCAAGCCCAGGTCCAGCTTCTGCAGCGTGGCGTTCCGGGGCAGCATCGCGGCCTCCACACGGACAAAAGGGGGCCAAAGGCCCACTGCTCTCGTCCTGCCACTCGTCCCACCGTCGCCACAGCTCCCCGATCGCCGAAGGAGTTGCAGAAGACGTCCAGGCCTCCGGAACTCAGCCCAAGCGATGCCTCTGGTGCCTCCTCGAGCCTTCAGAGTTCGGCTTGCTTGTCCTCTCCTTCTTGTGTTCTGCTCCTTCTGAAACTCTTCACCACTCACTACCAAGCGCAACACACACACACACACACACGTCGGGACGCACATGCACTTTTGCCGAAGAGCTGAGGCGCCCGCATCTCAGGCTGCTGCACTGAACGGCAGTTGCAAGTGCCTCGGATTGGAGCGGCGCTACAGACGGCGGACCTTTCTGAAGACCCCCGAAGCCGAGTTGCGGCTGCTCCCTCCTCTCGGATGCCGTTCCAGCGGAGGCCTCTGAGAAGAGAAGAGACGGAAAGAGACGGGAGTCGGGAGCTGATAGCTTTTCTGAGCCGGTGGCTTAAGCTTCTCAGCGAGGTGCAACCCTGCGAAGGTAGGGTCGAAGGTCGCAACTCTAAGCAGGCATCGGACACGAACCTTAAGAGCATCCGCCACCAGCCTGGCCCCTGGCATCTCAAGGAAGGAGCAAAAAGCCGAGGGCTGCCGCTGCGGTGGCGGGAGGTTTCGGGGCCCCACCAGCATCTCGCAAGGAGCGGCCCGTCAAATCCTGCAGTGTTGCGGCTCTCTGTGAGCGGTGAGCTCTCAAGAATGCGTGAGCGGCATGTGGCGCATCTCACACATCCCCGGCCGGGCTCCCCGCCAGCTCCGTGATCGAGGCCAGGACCTCGCAGGGCGGCACAGGGCGGCGCAGGGGCGCAGGGCTGCGTCTTCCTCTCCCCTCGGCCTGCAGCTCCGGAAGCAGAAGCCGAGCGCGAGAGGCCTCCTCTCCGCGGCTCTGCGGCTCTGCGGCGCTTGCCCGTGGCGACGCTCAGCTCAGCTCCCGGCCTGGTAAGCTTCCATGCTGCAGTCACCACACCTCACAGACGAGCACAATACGAGTACAGCTGCTCGTCACATTGGAAGTCGCAGCTTCTGCCGAGGAGCGTCATCCCGTTGCCCATCTCTTTGCACGACGCCAGCGACGCTGAAAGCCATGTGCCGTAACTACTTCCCCACTCCCAAACATCAAGCGCACCTTTGCATGAACAGGTCTGGAATGCAGGCAATGGTCATGCGCAGAGACTGGCCTACACATGGCTCAGCTCTGTTCAGAGTGTCGGTTGCATGTGACTCTTAGCCACAATGAGAAGTTACGCTCGTCACAATAGAATCGGCCCAAATCCTTGCTTGAGCTGCTCGGCTGCAGAAACTCTCAGGGTTCGTGAACACATCGAGCTCTTGATGTTATTGCTGAAAGGTCCGTCACCTTGTCTGCCTTGTCGAGGGTGTACTGGAGCTGCAGGACGTGTTCGATCCGCTGCAACGGGACAAAGCGACTCAGTCCATGACCCCATCAAGTCGATGATGCGCCCGATCGATCAGCTGTGCCGCCTGCGTCTCTCCCAGAAAAAGAACAGCGCCTGCGTCTCGAAAGGGCCACCGAACCCCGCCCCGAAAACGGGCCTCCTTAAGATAGAAGATGCTCTGCTTCGAGAACTCCCCGACCAGCCCGACCTCCGGAGAGCGCCCGCAACTGTGCCAGCGCTGTGCCAGCGCTGCGCGCAGCACTGCGCGCCTGCTCTGCAAAGGCGCGGGCTGCCGGGCGCTGCAGCTCCTGGCTTCTGGCGCCAGAAGAGAAGCGACGGAAGCCGGGGCGACGGGGCGACGGCCGTCCCTGCATTCAGCCCAAGGCTCCGATTTCGGCCGCGAGGAGTAGTCTGGCGGCTTGGCCTGCGAGGGGCCATCGGCGGAAGGTGTGCCGGCTTCCACAAATGCCGAGGCCCATGCACAGAAGTACCTCAGCTCACTCTTCAATCTCTACACCACTCCACACTTCTTCTTTGCATGCAAGCTGCGCATCATTCATGATCTTCTTGCACTTTGCCTGGCCCGTCGTGGCCGTACACATTGCTATGATATGACGATGCACTTCTCAAAAACCGCATGCCGATGCCACTGGTTGTTGTGGTTGCAGACTTTGAAGGAAGTTTGGATCCAGTCCGGCCACGAAAAATGCAGCCAAGACCTGAGTTCTGTCAGAGTTGCATGGAAAGTCAAGCTGCATCAACACCTTACCATTGAGTTCCGTGCACGATGCTTGCGACCCTTGCTGTGCATGCCTGTCAGTCTCCAAACGTGTCGCCGAAACCAAGCTTCGAGCCGGATCATGTGCCTTGGAGAGGCAATGGCCACGAGATTGCCTCACCAATGATGATCAGCTTTGATCACAGGATTCTGCCAGTACTTTCTGGTTTAGATTGTTCCACTCCGTGCTGGGTCGTTGGCTGACGCATGGTGCATACTGCATGGTGCAAAATGCTCCGTTGTATTGGGTCGCCTTGAATGGCAAGCCCACACGGAAGATCACGCATCAGACAGCTTATTCAGATAAAGGCACCCCAAGAAGTCGTCACCTGCAATGACATCGCGATACAGAGACACCATTGCCCGTGATCTGCTGGCGGCATTTCGCACAACGTGACAGGCTGAGGGCACAGCTTGCAAGCAGAGTGAGGCTAGAAACACCAGGCATGAGGCATGGATCGATCTGGAGACTTCAGCTTGTTGTAAAATTGGCAACCACCCATTGCTGTCCATTGCTTTAGCTGTTCTCCATGATGCGGTGTAGTGTATGCTTTCACCATGCACAAGGCCAAATGGCTCAAACGGCAGACATGTGCCACCAACAAGTCCAAACGCACGGGCCAAACAAAACTTTGTCCAAACGAAAAAGCACCATCCACACATCTGATGATTGGCTGGGAACTAATGCACAGCAGATTGTTCTTATCACCATCCTGGAGTAGAGCGAGTCTTGTTGTTGAATCCGTTGTGCGTGCATTGAAAAATTTGCCTTTCTGGAAACCCAAAGATAAAATGTAAATTTGTGGGGCTTTGGAAGAATTTCCAGAAGCTAGGTGTGCCGCAAATCATCTTCCGACGCTTTTTCGCGAAAGCACTGGCAACCTTTCAGGCCCGACCGTCACAAACTTGATTGTAACAGCCCTTTCCCGCGTATTGATTATAGGCCTGGTGGTACTTCGACGGTAGATTGGCCGGGGGCAGCCTCGCCATCCTCGATCATTTGGTTGCAGTCAGATTCATGCTTCTGTTCATGGTGTCTGGGAGATACGAGTGGATCTGCGTTTTCTAAAATGTTTTAGGTAGGCTTGCACTGCTCTAGCACTTCAGCTCTCTTTTTACTGTTGGATCTGTAGGCATAACGGCTAGCCGAAGGCTGACAGATGCTGCAGGGCAGAATCTGTCCAAAGGGAAAACACCCCCGGCTAGACTTTGTGAGAAGACGAGTGAACATGCATGCATTCGTCTGGAATTCAGGCAAGGCTGAGGCAGCTCTAGAGCTAGGAAACACCCTGCGTTAGAGTGCTTAGGGCAATTGGCTAAGGCCTAGCCCTGTGAGGCAGAGGGCACGACCTGGGAGTCCGTTTGACCGTAATATAGGTGTACGTAGGCCGCATGGCCAAATGACCGTGAAAAAAGACATTGACCGTGAAAAACCATATGGCCACGAAACCAGTGTGAATTCACACGGGGCCTTGTGAATTCACGCGGGGCTGGGAATTCACATGGTGAGCTTGTGAATGTACAGAATTCATTGGCTATGAATTGTACAGCGCGTGAAGCAATAGCTTGTGAAGTTTCACTTTGTGTTTGGGGGTTTGTTTCTGTGCAAAAAAAGTCTTTTGCACATTTAGCGTGTCACACCCCCACAGCGGTTCGATTTAATCCGTTTATACCCAGATCGGCCAAACGGGCGGTTCAAACCTATAGCTCTAGAATGATTTTGGCTCAAAAGAAGAAAGACAAACTTCTGAATTTCGGCTCGATCCGGGAGAAAAAAAGAAGAAAGACGCTCAAAGCCTTAATATATGCCCACATATAGTATATATATATATACCGGGCATTTTAAGGCTTTGACCCAACATATACAGAGGCCCTACGACATATACATATATATATATATACATATACATATAACTCTCTCGAGCTCTCTCTCGAGCTCTCTCACTCATATATTCCAGTGGGGGCAACGAATGTTGCCGATATCCAATGGGGGCAACGAATGTTGCCGACTGAACAAACGCAGCTAGTGATCAAGGCTTAATTCTTGGCCCCTTTCGATTTCGGATGTCGGCCACGTATTTCAGATTCATGCATTGCGACCGATTGCATGATTGGGATCATGATCCAAAGCTGGCAATTAACATTTTGCCTGTTGTCGATTCTTGTATTTGATTCTGCGATCGTCCGACCGCAAGGCCACAGGAGGCTCAGCGATCTTGCCTCTTCAGCCAAATCAGCACGTCATACAGACATATGTGCTCTATGATAGATACTTCACCAGCATGCGCTTTTGGAGCTCTCCTGCTCTATGTGTACATATGGGGTACTTGATATAGTATTGCATGGTCTATATTCATCCCATATGTATACATGCTTGTATGTTCGTGTATGTATATGCATGTATATGTGACATATGTGGATTTAGTTATGGATGCATGCATGCACACGTACCTATGTGCACATATGCACGAACTTGCAGCCCATCCAGAGCTGCATCGATCAGGTTCTTACAAACATAAGATGTCGTCGCTTACCGTACCCCGACATAATTAAGAATAACCCTACGTTAACCCTAAACCCCGAACCCTAACGTAGAACAACAAACCTTAACGTAGACATACTGTGTGCCGTCGAGCTCGACGGTGATCGAATGGCCGGGCAGTGAGCCTGCAGTGGGTGGACGTGCCCCAATGGGGCAATTAGCTAGTACCGGGTTTGTCTTGAATTGAAGCTCAGGGTGTGCAGGCTCAGGATCATTTTTCAATAGGGCCTTTGACTTGGGGCTATAGGGGGGGTGTCGGCGGCTACATGCAGGCCATTTACAGTCCTGGAGCTTCCGGGTTTTTCTCGGGGGTTACAACATACACTCCAAGACGATAGATGAATCTTCACGGCCTCGAGCTAATAAACCTGAAGCTTCCAACACCCAAAACCTTCCTATCATGTACATCCCGACAACCATCGCAAGTTTGGATCTTGCATTGGACTGTAATTTCCTATTTACTCTATCTCGGTACTCCCTATCTCAACAGGTTTATGTACCTAGGCTCCCCAGTGCAGGCCTAAACCCGACAGAGCATAATGCAGCGATCTACGTTCTGAGATCAGAAAACATGACCAAAAGATATGGGCTCTATCGCGACAGGTACGTATGGATGGCGACCCTCATGGACCTCGCTACATCGTTGCCAACAGGTGCTTCCCAGCCCCACGCTTTGTGCCGATCAGTTCTGCGAAGTGCTCTGACATTCAGTTTTGATGCACTGCATGTGGCCATCGCTTCAGATTGAGAATTCTGCAGCCGGGCCCAGGGTTTGTGCTGTGTAGTGTTCTGTGTAGCATTTAGCAAACGCATAGAACCATCCACTGGAGGACTAGAGGTGCTCTTTAATTTGAAGCCCGGCTCACCCGCACTGCTGCTTAAGCTTATAAAGATGACGACCTCGACCAAAATGGTGGAAGCTGTGGCGGCCGCCTTCGCACAGGAGCCAGGGCTGAAGGAGGCTCGCCCGATCCTGCATTCCCACTGCTAGCTTCATTTGATCAGCCTTTGATTGCGGTATTAGCGGTGGTGTGCTTACATATGATGTCAACATAAATTCACGTAAATGTACGCATGGAAGCTTACACACATATATATACATATATATATATATATATATATATATACGTAGTTACATACTTCCAGGCATACGTACATACATGCATACGTATGTATATACATACATAACTACGTGTACACATACATACATACATACATACATACATACATACATGCATGCATGCATGCATGCATGCATGCATGCACGCATACACACATACATATATACATATCATACGCACACATACGAATATAATACTTATGTACAAACATGCAATGATTCCACCAAAGATTCCATCATTCGTTCATGCTTGCATATACACGCACAACACACGCACACACAAGCGCACAGACTTAGCTTAAGTAGAGCTGCTAGTTACTAGTTTGCATCACACAGCACATACGACCCGGCAGGTGGGGCTTGGCTTCCTTTGCAACCACTCGGGCAAGCTCTTCACAAAGAAGCCGAGCTTGAAAGATGTGCGGTGCAATCAGAATGTACTTGGATTGCATAGAATGTGTGTGCATGCAGGTCCCTTTCAATTCTAAACATTGAGACATTTGGGAACCCTTCTGAGGCAATCTTCGCAGTGGTCAAGGCTACGAATGGGGCGAGCCGATTGAGTGCCTATATGCTTCGGGATGCGATCCTTAAGTTCTACACCAATAACCACTTGTTTCCGGCTGGGCTATGTGCAGATGCTGAGTGTACCCAAACCTGGGCTTTGAAGCATGGCAATGCCTTGAAGAGGCTAGTGGCTTTGCTGATTGATATCGTGCCATTCGTTCAGTGCATGTGGTTTCAGGACTAGTGACTAGTGAAGTGTTGTGTGCCAGCTCAGGTTGGCCGCACCCGGCGGATTTGCAAGAGGGCCAAGACTTCCAAGGACCGCAAGCTGAACCCTTTGAGAAACCGGATCGCTACATTGGGAATAGCTAGCTTGGTCACTTGTCTTTTATCGATCCACATTCTCATTGTCGAGTGCATGATGCATTGGTACGATTGCATGGCAACATGTACTGCATCTAAACCTAAGGTGTGCAAGGACAAGGGTGACAAAGATCATGACGATGAAGACTCGAATGATGGTGTGCCTGCTGCACCTGCACCGGGGATTCGGATGCTTTCCTTTGAAACCTTGTCTTTGGCTTCGGGATCCAGTAGCGGCTCCTCCACGTCGGGTACGTTGTCGAGCGGCGGCCTGTCGGTCCGTGATTCTGAGGTGAGTCGTTTGGCTTCGCAGCTTCAGGGTCTTCGTTTGCTGAGCAAGGGCTCTCCGGGTCCGAGTGTCGGGTCCACTGTCACGACTACGGCAAGCTTGTTTGACTTTGCTGGGAAAGCCGATTCGGAGCCTGCTCAGCCTGCTCATATCCCCTCCGGCAACAAGCCCGAAAAGATCCTGCCTTCCCGGGTTTCTCAGCTGCCATTACAGTGCATATGGTTCATACATGATCCGAGAAACACCTAGATCTAGACATTTAGACAGCGATCGATTGCACCTCAGGTTTTCGCTGACCTCGCCACGTGGCTGCCTGAACCTTCGAAAGGGTTCCCCTTGTCCAGCCAGTACGCAGGGGCCTTCGATGCTGAGGATGTGGATGGCATTCACGAGCCGCCTGAGGATCATGAACCCAAGCCCAAAAAAGCGGGGAACAAGAAAGCTACGAAGCCGAAGAGCAAGGCAGGTTCCAAAAAAGCGGGGCCCAAGAGCAAGGCAGGTTCCAAAGAAACGGGGCCCGAGAGCAAGGCAGGTTCCCAAGAAACGGAGCCCGAGACGGAGGAGCTGGACCCGGACTTATACGATCAGTACGCGCCCAACCTCTATGGTGAGAAGCGACTAACGTACATCGCTACACACGCTCCACAGCATGGCAACAAGGAGGCAGCTAATATGTGGAACTCGTCGCTTCAGAAGGCTAGGATGCTGGCTGGTGTGAGCTTACGGGAGCTTAAGAAAAGGAAGTTCGTTCCCAAAGAAGCCACTGAAAACCCTTTTGTCAAGATCGTCAAGCAGGCGAAGCTTGCTGCAGTGGGCGGGGCATGATTTTCGATGAAACATGCGCTTTTGCCATGGCCTGTACGTAGCTACATACTGCATACAGATACATTGAAGCCTCGTAGCACAGGATCATACAACTTGTTGTCATGGTTTCGATTGCAGGCCTGGGCTGCCATGCACCCTAATTATTATGGGCTTCTGCTGCAGGTGGGCACGTTTAATACGTGTTGTCGCATGCAATGGGCTCTTAACGGGAAATCGCACTGTGGCTGTGAAAGACTGTCGTGAGAGAGAGAGTGAGCAATGCATGTCCGGAGATCGCAAGGGATGCTGTGTTGCAAGCGACATGTGCTTCAATTCGAGCTTGCTCTGTACTGCGTGTGCTTCATGGATCTAGACTTGAGCTTAGCCTGGGGAGCCGGTGATATACTGAGGGGCCCCTATTACAGCTGTGACCATGGTTGTGTCTGAGCTGCTCGCGATGCGGGCCCCGCCTGTCCTTATGCTTATGGTCATCCTGCTGATGTGGTACCCAAAAGCGCCGTGTGTTCAGGACCATAACCAGTAGAAAGTTAGCACATTTGTATGTGTATGTGTGTTGCAAACTTAAACTTTGGGAGGACCGGGACTTCGTCGAGCTGTTTTGTGGTAAGATGGAGGTATCTCATGCACTACGCCGTGCAACTCGATCGAACTAAAACGACTGTTGGGGTTACTAACCTATGCCCGCGGCTCGAAAAACCCCACTTAGCCCAGGCAGGACTCCGCGGCACCTCCCTCGACATCGAGCTGGATCCGCAGACGATGGATTTCCTGAAGCCGGCGGGCTTTTGGCTGCTTGTGTTGCAATTATTAGTTGGCCACCCATAGCACGCACAGGAGGATCGCAACATTCGATCATTATGTGGTATAGCGGTATAGCAGTGTTGCGATAGTTCAACACCAAAACACTGAGGACTTTGTATGTCACAGTGGTTATTCCACGGTCTAGAGTATAGCATCGTATGTGGGTATGATCGAAAGATTAAGAACATATCCTTCGGCGAGAACATAAAACTGTACTAGCACTGCAGCCGTACCTTCCATGCATCGTCGTAATGTCCTGTAGATAATGACATATACAACAAACTCCGAACAAACCATTCTTCATGTATGATATATATGTATATATATATATATATATATTTATTTGTTTCCCTCAGCTATCACCTTAAGTACTTCTAGCAATATGGAAACCCGAACCATACTAGACTGTCTCCTCATTATATAATGAGATCCCAAAGTAAACCACCTATGCTTCTATATATCAGGTATTACACAACACACGATTCTTCCCGGCTTATCTAAGTCTGGCCCTCCTGGAAATCCTACGCTGCCGGCCGGGCGGTTTGGTACTTCTGGCACTGGACTGCAGGAGCTTCAGCACCATGCATATCGATTGCAATTTCCGTATTGCAATGCATTGTAATCAGAGCTACCGAACTCTTGCATCTCAGGTGCCGTCATACGTCTGGACGGTCAATATTTCGACCGTATGGAAATGAACAATTTCCGTTTGTCTCTGAGGGCAATGTGCTTTCAAGCAGAGTGATTCTGCTGATCTTCGTGTGCCAACTTCGGGGTCTTCGATGGGTGGTGGAGCAACCTTGTCGGTCTTTCCTGCCTGCTATGCCTCGATTTCAACAGTTGTTGCGCTCCCTCAAGGCCATGGGTTTCTTAATTTAATTATGGGTCTGCATGCAATCAAACCGACAATCAAGCTTTCACGCTGGGAGGTCTGGACTGGAGGCTTCTGGATGGGTATGTTCAATGGGCCATCAGCGAAGCGACATACACTCTGGAGCAACGAACCAAAGTTGATTCAAGCCGTGATGGACCGAGCTGATCGAATGACGCCAGGTAAGATGTCGACACTCCAGCCGTTGTGCCACTACTACAAGGACTCACTGGGAGTACAGCGACGAATTGGCAAAAGAGCTGAACTGAAAGCCTCTCAGATCCTCGACCAATGCTAGCTAGCTCAGGCCCAGACCGCTTGGAAACATGCCGCAAAACAGCTTCTGAGCTAAGGAACTACACGAGGAACTTTGGTGAGTTCCTGGCTGGTGCCTTCCTGAACCTCCGGTCGGCACCATTACTGCAGCTACATTGTATGGGTGCAATATGACATAATTGTACTTAATTATAATTCCATAGCCTCGAATATCTCAGGAGCCCTTCGTTCCTGAGAACCGCCTCCCGGGATTGGGAGCTGATGATCTACGGAAATCCGATTATGAGCTCTTCGTGCAGGAGTGCTTGTCGGAGCGGGGCATTAATGGATTGGGGGATCTTTGGCCTGATGTGGCTTACTTTGAATTATATATAGGGGTTCGATTATGCTTGAACTGCGATATGTACCCTTCCCCATTGATCCCGATCCGAGGCAAAAGCCATCGATGTACTTATGTATATGTCCAAATCAAAATCCTTGGAGCTCCCTGGAAATTGGGTATCCTGGCTTATTATGTCATAAAGAGTACAAGAACCCCGAAAATTCACAAATATATCTCCTGCTGGGATCCCAGGCCAATGTGCTCTCGATGATCGGCTTGGGTGGCTGAACCTGGGCTTTGAGCTCTTGATCATAATTAAAGGGGGTAGTTTAGGCTACTGCCAGCTACAATGGCCTATGCTGTATGCTAAGCCAGCTGGCCGTGAATTCTTGTGAAAGCGCCGTGAGAAGTAACCAAACGACCGTGAACCCAGCGTGAAAAATGTGAGTTCACGCGGAGCCTTTTTGCTGAGTGTCCTGGATGCACGTTCATGCGAAATCACGCTTCTTCACGTTGCTTAAGTTTGGCAAAGCTGTTGGGTGTGAATTCTGATGTTCTTTTTCACGTGACTTCACGTGTTGGGCCCTAGCTGCCAATTTAGCAGTACGTAGTTTGTGCTAGAGCGCAATGGGAAAGAAGAGTGCGGCGGCGGACCCGCCGGAAGTGGCTGATGTTATGGCTATGCTTCAAAGCAAGGGATTGCTAAAGCGTGGTGCTTCAGAAGCCCCAGCAGCTGAGCGATCTCAGAAGGAGCTTAAGGTTGAGACCCGAGCCCGGAGCAAGCGCAAACAGGCTGATGCCAAAGCAGAAGCTGAGAAGCCCGATGAAGAGAAGCCCCCGAAGAAAGGGAAACCCAGCAAGGACCAAGCCGGCAAGAACCCCACCGAGAAGCAGGAGGAACCCAACAAGGAGCAGCCGCAGGAGAAGAAACCCAGCAAGGAGAAATCCCAGGAGAAACCCGGCAAACCCCCCAAGGAGCCGAAGAAACCCAGCAAGGAGCAGTCCCAGGAGAAACCCAGCAAACCCACCAAGGAGCCGAAGAAACCCAGCAAGGAGCAGTCCCAGGATGCCACTAAGGATGAGGCATCTGCCGATGAGGATCTGGGTCCGTTCGAGGAGTTTCCACCTGAGAAACCCGGGGCTTGGGGCGAGGAGTTCTTCGAGACGGGGCTTAATGTCGTGGTGAGCTGGAAAAACTTGGATGATGTGTGGCGAGCTTGCAAGGCTTCCGACAAGCCGATGTACAGAGACATGCAGTACGATGCACTTGTGCAGATGATGGAAAAAGCTCTAGGGGCTCGTCCTCCAACACAGGACCCGGGTGCCTCTCTTCAGCAGCACCCTCAACAGCCTGTGGCATCAGCAGTTGACCAGCAACAAACACAGGAGCAAGAGCAGTCTCAGGAGGAAGGTGATGACGAGGAGCAAGACGACCAGGAAGGGGAGGAGGAGGAAGCAGAAGAGGATGAGGAAGAGGAAGAGGTGGAGGAAGTGAAGAAACCGCTTCCTAGCAGTTCTAGCGCCAAGCCACCGCCTGAAACCACAAGCCCGCCGAAGATCAACACGTGGAATGGCATCCCCAGCCCTGCAACGAAGGAGAAAGCCCGCTCCGAGAGCCCCGAACAGGCCCGTCACAAAATGCTTTGTTCTCACTAAAGCCCTAAAAGCCTTAAAGGCCCTACCTAAAAACCCTAAAACCCTAAAGCCCGAAAGTATACATGTTGTTGCCAAATCTTAATGACTCCTGTATAGAGGCGAAGCCAACAGACCTGAACAACAAGTTCAATCGTGTACGGCGGTCGAAGTCCGAACAGCCCCCGTGCTTGCAACAATCGGTCCTTGATTGTTTACATGCAACCGATGACTTACATATTCAATCGAAGTGTGCACTGCATCGAATGCATTGATCAACTGAGGTCCCTGAGTACTTTGGTGCTGGGTGCCCACCTCACCGATGAGCAGGCATACGGGAGTCGTCCAGCCTCGGAGGCTGGTGCGGTTCCCGCGGAGGATCCGCATGAAGGGTGTCATGCACTGCATGCAGTTGTTCTACTATGTACTTTGCCTTGCATGCTGCCTGCCGATTTAATTAAATCCCCTGATGCAAGAGCGATCTGAGGTTGGTGAGTGCATCTCAAGCAGGCAGCGACAGCGAGCTACGAAGTCTCGTGGCAACGATGCAGTCAGAGATCACTAGGCTGAAGGCCATGCTGGCTACGAAGGATGCGAACCCGGGAGCCCCGCCGGCCACACCGCCGGCCGCACCGCCGGCCGCACCGCCGGCCCCGCCTGCGAAAGCCTCGGTTAAGCACGAGCAGAAGGAGTCGGATGGGGAGGATGAGAACGGGGAGGAGCATGAAAGCGAAGAGGAGGATGATGAAGAGGAAGAGGAGGGGGATGAAGACCACGAGACCCCGCCACCAAAGGGCAAACCGCCTGCCACAACCTCTGTGGCCAAGACCAACAAGCCTAAGGGGCCCAACTCGTCGACCCACCGTGCTCAATGGATGAAGTTCGGTCGGCGAATGGACAGCAAGGGCTCGGAGTTCCCCGAAATGACTAAGCTGTGGACCGGAAGCAAAGACGAAACCTGTCGAGTTATAGCATGCATGCTCATCTACATCTCGAGTGTATAGAGATGTGCACCCTAGCCGAGGAACAGCACGAAGTGTTCGCGAAATGGCTCGAGGAGGGCGAGAACATGAACAACACGGAGGCCCAGCTGATCAT